CTGCTGTCAATAAGTCATCCAATCTATTGTGCAATGAATCACATTCTCAAGATTTATTTATTTACTAGAAATGCAGCACTAAGAGCTCTTCTTCCTTCTCTTGAGATCCTTTGTAATTGTTAACACTAAGTGAAATCTGACATTCCTAACACAATTCAGACATGTCCTCCTTTGTAACCTGTTTTTGCTTTAGTCTCTTGTGGATTGCCTGGTTGCACCAGAGGTCAGTCATAGGTTAAGTGGTTAGCTAAGCCAGTCTCCTGGTACATTTACATTTCACAAGTACAGGGGTGAACTGCTCTTGTGTTAAGAAGAGGCTGTCCTTAAAGACCTGACGTCTTCCTTAAGCTCATTTTTTCCCACCATACTACCATTTGCTTTTCTGCATGCTAGGCCTCTCAAACCAAAGCAAATAAATACACAGTGTTTTTCCTAAGGCTTAAACTTTCAAAAGTTAATTACCTGAATATAGGGATTTCCAGGTGCTAACAGCATAGTGACTCCAGTCCTACTGAAAACTTATTTGTCCTATGCAAAAAAATCTCTAGACTTGCATTAAAATCTAATGCAACGTAATAAAATCATTGCTACAAGAGTCCTTTACTGTTACATGTGCTTACATACTAGTCACATCTCAGCTTGCTGAAGATTGACTTCAACATTTCCTGCTTCCAAAGCATTGAGCTCATCACATAGCAAGGCAGATGACAGAAACAAGGGTGTGGATCTGAGACCTGTGATTAATGGCAGAGAGTGCTGGTGCAAACCAACAAATTTCTGGAGCTTGGAACTGAAAAGTCAGGAACTAAGGATGAGGAGCTCATGTCTATGGTGTCACGGAAGCAATAGGTAAAGTAATTGGTAGGGAATGCAGACTGGAAACCAACTCTTAACATCTTGCTGTCACTACAGCTATACAACTCTGATGGGGATCCTGCTTTCCATCAGTACATGCACAAATGAACAAGTCTTAAAGGTTTATGGGTCGGAAATGAACCAGGTTGGGATCAAAAAAGTCTCCTTTTTTTTTTTTTTTTTTAACCCCAAACAGCACCAGTCAAAGATACTTCAAGAAGAAAAAGAAAAGTTCTATTCTGATCATTACAGTTGCACAATGAGGCTACAAACTTGGAAAAGTTGTTGTTTGATCAGCTTTAAGCCCTACCTCCTTTCTCTTCCCTTATTAATAAGTCTTATCGTACTACAGTAATTGCAGGAATTTATTCCCCCCCCCCGACAGGGCTCATTAATATTTATATTGAGCTTCCAAAGTGCTCCAGTTACACTAACTACTAAAAAAGCATATGAAGTGAATGCAATATATATGTGTGAGAGTACTCCACAGAGAACAACTAGAAGAGGCATTCAGAATATACAAGAAAATGAATTCAATGAGAACAGCTGCATGGCATATTCTTTTCATTGTTTGGTGTTTGGGTTTTTTTGTAAACAATCAATGTTTTCTTCAAAATCTTTGTTAGAAAGTGAGTTACACTGTAGTGCAGAAACGAGATGAAGAAAAGCGTAGAAGGAAAAAGCATTGAAAAGACTGAGGATGACTGCTGTAGTACTGAATTAATAGAAGAGTAAAAAGGTTAGGAGGAAGACCAGATGCCAGAGGACAAAAGGTAAATATAATCAGCCTCTGAATTTTAGAGCGCCCACATGCCAGAGGTCATCATGTCTTCTGGCTATCAAATAAGTGAGGTTTTCTGAGTTTGACACCATCCTGGGCTCCTTTCTGCTATCAGAATAGTTTGAAATCCGTGAAGAAGACGGTAGCCTGTTCACTGCAAATTTCTTCCCAGCATTCTTAGTGTAGAATGGGGAAAAAAACCCAAAACAATTAATGAATAGCTTCATGCTATCTTGGAGGATCTTTAAGGCATCCAAGGAAATGATCTATCAAATAAATACAATTGTTGAATGCATGTCATAGAAAAAATAAAGTTCCCATTGGATCAAACGTACCTGTAGTTTTAAAATATGATATCCCCTACAACTGACATTAAAAATAAACAGAAACACAATAGCAGAAGAAATCACAGCTGGACCTTTCCTGGCTACTACAGTTAGATAACTAAATAGGCTAGCTACAGAATGACCAGACCGGGTTTCAGATTCTGGATTAAAAGCACAAGGGAAATCTTGGGTCTAACTGTAGTCTAGCTTCCAATGAATGCTACCAGCCAGAACCAAAGCACTCAGACAAAAAATATTACATATTACGTATAATGTAACAGAATATAATATTTCTTATATCTAAAATATAATAACATATATATTAAAATAATCTCAGAAGCTGTTCAAAGTGGTCTCTCTCCACTAAAGTAGCATACTTCTTCCCCAGAAGCAACAGCATCTCTTCTGGCAGGACGCTTTACTTCATCTTTATTATGCAGCTACCTCCTTTACTTTCCTTGATATGCTACAGATTGCTAGAAGCAGCCTCTCTGCTCCCCTGCATTTGATCATCCCTATTTACCCTCCACATTCCGTTAAACAAAGTTGTTATTTCAGAAAATTGGAGGCTTTGCTGCATCAGAATTGTTTCTCTTTCTGTCATGCATGTCTGCACACAAATGTTCTTACATCATTAAAATGCATTCCTGAGACTGTTTTAAAAGGCAGTGTCTCCAGTGCAGTGCTTTCTGTGTGCTCCCTAGAAAAAAGGCTTATTGAGCCACTTTCTGTAAAGCCTGATGTTCTAGTCAGCCAACTGCATGCAGCTATTGCTACACGCTCTTAGCTTAGAAGGCTTCACTGTACAGTACTTTTACTGCAGCCTCAGCACCATCCTTTGTCAGACCAGAACACCTACCTGTCTCTTTCCTCTCCAACTTGCAATATAACACACCTGAAACTAAGCCCAGGAGTTAAAAACTGCCATAAGTCTCAAGTGCTAGAATCAATATCATCAGCCTCAACCTGAATATTCTAGCACTGTATTTCCCACAGTATTAGAACTGTTTACAGGTGAAATAATCTGAATAGGCAGTAAAAATATGTACGTGCGTGAGTCCTTGGCACAGTATTAGGGGAAATCAGAGCAACACGGAGGAAGACTGGAACCATGACAAAACTGTTTCTGGTTCCTGCACAGACTTAACTGCGCTCCCAGCTACCATTTTTGCTGCTCCTCAGATCCCAGCTGTAAATGGAGGAGTATGCCTCAGCAGGGTGTTGCAAACATAAGACTGTGATGTTGCACACCTTCAGCAGTAAGCCATGTAAACAGACCAGGTAAGAAGGAACAGTATCTATTCCTGTAAAATAGGATAAAGCATAAGTACCAAACAGGGTGAGGCAGTTGGGGTGGGGAAACAGACCAGACAGGAATGGGGAGATTCCTACCGGGAGTGAGATTCCTGTTTCATACAGGACTCCTGTCTGTTATTGTTTCCTTCTTTCCCAGTCTGCATTAGAAGCAGGAAGGGAAGGAAACGGCAAGTAATTTGTAACACAGTGCAAGACTTGGATTTATCAAATCAGCTTTTGACAACTCTCCTCAACTTCTTAAAACTCTACTTTCTCAGCCAAGAGCACATCTCTCCCCTTCCCTTCCAACCACATGGTGCTTGTAGAACTTCACTAATTCCGCAGGTACCTCTACTAGAATTTCTTTGTCTTCCCTTTCAGCCCAGTCTTTCTTTCCTTTTTGCTCAGCCTTACTAATATTCTTCTTTACTTCTCCAGACACGTCTTCTCTATTAAGGAGGAAATCCTAATTAATCTCCTCCCTGTGAGTTCTTTAAAAACTGCTACTGTATAGCATTTAATAATAAATGAGTAACATGGCTTAGTCCTCGAGATTTGCTAATCAAACAGAAAACAAAGATTTATGGCATCATAGTGGCAAATAATAAAATATAAAAAGATTAGGAGATAGAAGCTAGATTAGCTTTGTGAAAGCATATTCCAAGAAAGGCCTTTTTTATCATTGCACAAGGTTTTGTGCTCTTTTCATCCCACACAAGCCTGTGATCAGGAAACACCCATACCAAGGGAGACACCTAAAGCCAGACAATTGTTAAGCTTGACACTGGGCGTGCCTTCATTAGCCGTGCTAGGTGCGTGAGAGCTCCATTTATAAAAGATATAGGATAGCAGTTTACTTGTAAAATAGCGAAGCCCTTGCCACACTTCTTGCCTAAAGCTTTCAACAGGCTCTGAACAGAGATGATCAGGTGAGCACTGAGGCTCCTGAAGTAACTTCTCCATTCGCCTTTAACCATCACACCATGCTGTAAAGCCAACCTCTCCCTAATCGCTACAAGAGTTCCTATTAATGACAACAACAAGATGCAGAATTGGGATGCTTTAAGACAGATTCCCAAGCAGATTAGGTACTGCAGAGAGGTACTTACATTCAAGAACTAGGCTCTTCTGGCAAAGGAATATCTTTGGTTTTGTGATTTGTTCTTAGAGATGCTATACACCAACTGTTCTACAAAATGCTCACGTAAATGAGAAGTGTTGATTTGAATGAAAACAGCTTGGGAAAAGGGACTTGGATTTTAAGCTGTAAAAGGCTGTAAAGCAGACATCAGTGAAGCAGGTATTAAACCAACCATGCAGCAACATACACATCAGGAAGACAGCTTCTCCTGCCTACATTTTTTTGGTTATATTTGTACAACAATAAATCTCTCTCTGAAAACCTCTCTACACACACTCAGCTTCCCACTGGTGATTCGTACATTTCATAGTGAACTCCAGAATCAATTAAGATTTAAAAGGAAACTGCTCCCTCTCAGATTGTTGTCCCTGATACAAACTAGAGAGTAGTTAATAAAATAAGTTGCATGAACATTCACAACTTTTACTGCAGTTTAAAATAATAAAAAATATGCAGTATCACATCCTGAGATTACAAGAGTTAGCACGCAAGCCAGTGCCATACCACCTGTGCAATGGAGACCAAGACCTTCATAAAACTACCTTAATGAGCAACGTTGTGACTATTTTCAGAACTGAGACAGTGAGTAGCCAAATCTTACCTTAACTCCTTTGGTAATTCCATTTTTCTTACAGACTCCACTTTTTAAGACGTTATTCTGTTTCTGATGGTGATGATGATGTAGATGTCCATTACAGACAGCACTGGGATTAGCCATCTGTTTAAATTAGTCAGATTCTCAGTTCTTAAGGGTGTCTTGGGTCTTTCTACAGTACAAAAGACAGTGGGATGAACAGATAAAGTCCTTAGTTAAGGCCTGAAAGGTATCCAACTGGTCTGTCAGGATTTTCCAGGATGAGAGGAGGAACTATCTTTTGCAATATCTCAGAAACTTAGAACTCCTTCTTCCATACACCTTCAGTTCCAGCAACCTAGAATGGAAAATGCATAGCAGAAGGTGTACTCTTAGAATCTCTGAAAAACACTGCTCATCGTCGGCTATTGTATGAACACAGCTTTTATGAGTCAACAAGACTGCTGCAGCTATCAAGAAGTGGGTGGACTCAGAGGCGGAGACACTTAAAGATATATTACCTCCAAATACCTCCCAGTGAGGAACATTACACTTTTTTTTCCTCTCAATTACACTCCATACAGAGCTATATTACTCCATTTAAGGCAAAGTAATAAAATGTTTTGAAAAATTAAACAAAATAATTTGTTAATTTGCAAGCTTCATCTTATGAAGAGTATGCTAGCTGAAAAAATGTAGTGTTTATTGAGTAGAACAGAACACTCCTTTTTTTCCTGTTATTTTAAATCTCTTATAGGCAGTAATAGACACAAAATTAACCTTCCAAGGAAATGGAAAGTATTTCAGTATTAAAATGAAATCTTTACTTAGAACTAGAAACAATTTCTTTGGCTCCATTTTACAGATACATGCACAGGTCTTTACCATGGTGAAGTGGCCCTTTAAACTCATTTTGGCATGCATTATGTGGAATTCCATGCTATTACAATCAGTAAGAACCTGATTTTTATAAAGTACATCAATTTAGGTTTATTATTGTACTTCAGATTTTAGTGGCAAAGCATAAAAGTAAAGGTGTTCCTGGCAACGTGTGATAGAATTCCTTCCTCCAAAAATAATTAAAATTAGCATGGAGACAGATTAAAGGAAAGCTATACAGTAATATCCATTTTGGAAAACAGTAAGGATAAAAGGTTAGGAGAGTAAAAACATGTGGAGTGTTTTAATTAGAAAAAAAAACAAAAACCTATGTCATCTGGGAAACGAAACGTAAGCAATATATAGAAAATGCAGCCTAAAACTGAAGTACAAGATGGAGGAGATTAAATACTACATGAGCACTGAGAAAATACACAAAAAAAACCACATTGCATTGACTTTGCAAACTTGTTTTAGCTATTTATTGAACTGCTAAAATATATTCTTCCTTTGAAGGTTTGCAAAGTAGGATGCCTGCATAGGTTGAGACCAAAGCATGCTAACGCAACACAGACCTGATCTGAACTGCATTTAAAAGGAATATCTGTGTATTTATTTCTTCTTCATTATGCTTGTTTCATATCACTTTCTGATTTGCTGAGTTTTCTATTAAGATGTATAGATAACCTCCACAATACATTACCTGGTAGCACTTCAGTTGTGAGGAAATCCATCCTTTACTAGGTTTGATTTTGATCTCCTTGGAAAGAAGACTTCTACTTACATGTTCCAATTAAATTGAGAACTGACTGACTGGCAGAGCTCAGAGGTTACCATCAGTGGTGCAGAGTCCGGTTGGAACCCTTTAAGTATCTCTGTTCTTGGTCCAGTCTTGTTCAACATCTTCATCAACAAAGTGAATGAAGGGATAGAGTCCACCCTCAGCAAATTTATTGGTGATACAAAGCTGGGAGGATTGGCTGATACATCTGAAGGCTGTGCTACCATTCAACAAGATCTGGGCAGACTGGAGAGTTGGGCAGAGAGGAAGGTTTAACATGAGCAAGTCTAGAGAGTCTTGCACCTGGGCAGGAATAACCACATGAATTAGTACAGATTAGGGGCTGACCTGCTGGAGAGGAGCTCTGCGGAGAAGGACCCGAGGGTCCTGGTGGACAACAGGTTGGCCATGAGCCAACAATGTGCCCTTGTGGCCAAGAGAATTGATCAAGAAGAATGTGGTTAGCAGGTTGAGGGAGGATATCCTACCCCTCTACTCTGCCCTCCTGAGGCCATATTTAGACTACTGTGTCCAGTTCTGAGCTTCCCAGTTCAAAAAAGACAGGGATCTCCTCAAAGGAATCCAGCGGGGGATCTGAAAGATGATAAAGGGTCTGGAGCATCTCCCATATGAGGAAAGGCTGAACCTGGGTCTGAGCCTGGGGAAAAGACTAAGAAGGGATCTGATTAATGTTTATAAATATCTAAAATGGAGGTGGAAGGCAAATGGTTGAGGCCAGGCTCTTCTTGGTGATGTGTAGTGATAGGACAAGGAGTAATGGCCTAAAACTTGAACATAGGAAGTTCCATACTAACATGCAGAACTTCTTTATAGTAAGGGTGCCAGAGCACTGGAACAGGTTGCCCAGAGAAGTTGTGGAGTCCCTTTCTATGGAGATATTCAAGACCTATCTGGATGCCTACCTGTGTGAACTATTGGAGGGAACCTGCATTACCAGTGGGGTTGGACTCAGTGATCTCTTGAGATTCTGTGACTCTGTGGTTGTGAATATGTAGTGATAAGATCAATTGCAAGTCATACTAACTGGCGAGAAGTTCATATTTGCAAGGAAAAGAAAGAGATGAGAAAAGCCCAGCATTAAATAGAATAAATAGTCAATAATATTTTACTGCACATCTGTCACTGATGAGGCCTTGATAAATGAAACAAGATAACACAGGAGAATGCTCTCAGCACCTAGCAATCCACTCCCATCAAGAAGCATTATTCATCTAGGAATTAGTTCCTTGGCTTTCATGGCATAACATTCCATTTGCTTAGACAGTTACTGTTCATTTTGACTGTGCTATCATAAAGGTAAAACAAGAAAATATGCCAAAGTAGAGGTTCAGCTCCTTGGCAGATTCCAGTAACTCACCTGGCAGAACTGCTAGCTATATTTCCCAACACACTGAGTACCTTCCAGGGCACAAAGTGATAGTGATATTATCAACATTATCATTATCAACATGTGTGTCTTCTTATTATTATTATTTTCATTCAGTTTTATGTGGTGGGGAGGAAATTGCTGATTAGATAACAAATCATGCAATTCTGTCTCTAATCACAGACTATTACAGTCTGTATTTGTTATTCATTTCAAGACATATGAACAAAGTCCTTTTGTATGAATACAGTAGAAAATTAAATATGCTACATGTTTATATACTATATGTTTAGTTTTCAACATGTCTGACACATTGACTGCAAACAGACGGAAGTAAAAAAAAGACACAACATTTAAATGTGAATTAAAATAAGCAATTTTAAAAACCACAGAGAACAGCTGTCCTTGTAGACTTTTTCTAACTATATTCGAATAGCCAAAGCTCTCAAAACAAGTACCACTAGGGGATGTGTAGATTTCCTGCCTTGGCTCTATTTGGAGCAAGTGTTTTATAGAAGGGATGAGTCTGGCCAGATGAACATATTTGATCTGTAAACAGGATGTGGTACTGCTTCTGGAAAATAAAATGTTAAATTGGGCCCTTCAGAAACCCTGTCCTACTCAAAGCCATCTGTTACTCAGGCTTCTACATCCATTTCTATCATGCTGCTTCTTAGCTAAGAAGCACCTAATCTATTATTAGCACCTAAATCTATTATTTAAATATATGGGAGTCTCTCCTGCTGACACTGAAGGAGAGACTAGATAATTGTGTGTTACAGAACATCAAAACCACAAACACACACTTACACACTTTCTCTTTTTACCATTTTGAAAGTGGAAGGAAAAAATTCACTATGTTAACTGTAAAAAAACGGTGTGTATTTTAACTGCAGGGAATCCCAATCCAATGTGCTTCATTTTACTAGCTTGGGTACTGGTCAGAAGTAAAAGTTTATCTTTGAACACTGTCAAGAAAATGATGAATTCCTAAGGCTAGTAGCAGATCACGTGTCCCACAGAGATGTTAGCTAAGTTTGTAAGATACCTACCATTACAAAAGTACAATGCTGCAAGAACATATGAGAACCAAATGTAAACTGTAATTCAGAAGGATTCCACAGGATTCCTGTTCATCTTAGAGAAAAGTTAGTTATGAAATGGTCTTGCAATCTAGTTGCAAGATTGATAATTCCAGTTCATGACAGGTGCAAATTTACATGCCACAAGAAACAATAATGGCCTACACAAAGACACCTACAAGCTTTATGCTTAACTTTACAGGGCAGATAACAAATGGGAGATGAAAAAAACTGGGACATCAAACTCATGGTTTTCACAGTATTTCAATTAACAGCAGAGTATGCCCCAGTGGTGGAGTACAGAACTACAAAGCCTTCCTGCTATCATGATCACTTCTCTTACAACAGAAGTCCATGCTATTACATCTATGTACCACTGAAGACTTATTCTCAAACTAGCATCCCAGGATGTTCAGTTTGGTACCTGTGAGTCATTAATATCTGAAACAATTTCTGCCTCAGATATGTTCATAAAATCACTGTATAGTAACCAGTGAAGCTGAAATAAATGAACAAATAGTAAGATACTAGAGCAAAAAATAACATAAGCAATAGCAAATGCCACATAGCAGCTGATCAGTCATCTTATTTGGTGTCTTTCCAGATTCATTTAGAATTCACTGGCTGAAGGCTAAACTTCCAAAACATTCAAATAGAAGAATTCCATATCCATATTTGATGCTTTAAACCTTATCTATCCGATATATCTGTGGAAATGGGCACGGACGTCACCCTACACTTTGGTGTAAAACTGCACATAACTGTTGAAGGATCTCCTGAAGTGCTTTTGCACAACTACTCCCTGAAGGACATATAAAACTGGTCGCAGAAATAATCTTAGAGCATAGAATCATAGAATATCCTGAGTTGGGAAGGATCCATCTTAGAACTAAGGCCCACAGTTTAAGCAGGTGCACCCAACCAGCACTGCAACAGAGGACACAGTACAACAGGCAGGGCTCTGCTACAGCAACACTCCCACCTAGCTTGCATAACCTGGATGCCAGCCATATGCAGGCTCTGCTGAGTCAGCTGCAGGGCTACATCCCTCCAGAGTCCTGCAGAGATGAGGCAGCTCCATGAGCCTTAAGGGATCCAATCCCAAAGTGGCCAGGAGTACAGCTTGAAAAATTAGGCAGGGGCAAAATAGGCCTGAGTTGAAGTAGTGTAGAGTACCTAACTGAGAGGCTGCTTGGAAGAGTAGCCCCAGGGAAATTCCGGAAGACAGG